GACTAGAAGGCAATAAGTTTTTGTACATATTACCATTTCTTTAAAGATGCACGTGTGCATACATATGTTTTTTTAGGATGATGATACCACATTTTTTAGGATGACGACCAAATTTTTTACGATGATGATACCACATTCTAGCTCAGGTTGTTGTTGTGAAGTGCCATTGAGCCAATCCGATTCATAGTGACTCTTAATAGGGTTTCTGTGGCTGTAAATCTTTACGGGAGCAGAAAGCCTCATCTTGCTCCTGTGGAATGGCTGGTAGGATCGAACCACTGACCTGTGGTTTGTAGTCCACTGCTTTTCCTACAGAATGGATGCACTCCTAGGTAAAGGGGCTAGCACTCTACTACCAGCACCTCACTGTACAAGGGCATCTCATTTGTCTCTGAAAAGTTTCACAAGATTTTAAGCCAAAACCAAAAAAACACTAGATCTGTTTCCATCAAGTCCTTCCCGACTCATGGCAACTCTATGCATTACAGAGTAGAACTGTGTTTCATAGGGTTTCCGTGGCTGTGCCCCTTACTGGGCAGATTGCCAGGCCTTTGTTCTGTGGTGCGACTGAAAAGATTCAAACTATCAACCTTTAGGTTAGTTGTTGAGTGCACATCGCTTGCCTTTCAACCAACTTAAAAGTTTATCAATTTAATTACATTTTAAGATGTCGAAGACGTCAATAATTAAATGAGTTGTATGCTAAATCTTTTAACCTACTAATTGTTTCCTAATTTGCCCATCTTGAAAATTTCAATTCTCATGTATTTGTGGAAATCACCCCCAAAACAGCAGCATTCTTTATGACCTGAAATTTTCACAGTTATATACAATGACAATTTATATTCAAAGTGACCAATTTGACTATACAGAACTCAAATTACCACATTATGCTCACTCTGGTTTTATTACTAAGCACACTTTATTGGGTTTTTGCTTTCTAGATGGTATCTGTTGTTGTTGTTGTTAGGTACCATCGAGTTGGCACAGCAGAATGAAACACTGCCTGATCCTCACTACTACAAACACAACCTCACTACTGTTGCCACGCTTGAGTCTATCGATGCTGCCACTTGGCCAATCCATCTCATTGGGGGTCTTCCTCTTTTTCTCTGACCCTTCACCTTACCAAACATGATATCCTTCTCCAGTGACTGGTCCCTCCTGAAAATATGTCTGAAGTATGAGAGACGAAGTTTGTCCATCATGGCCCCCAACAAGGAGCACTCTGGCTGTACTTCTTCCAAAACGGATTTATTGGTTCTTTTGGCAGCCCATGGCACTTTCAATGTTTTTCTCCAACACCAGAACTCAGAAGCATCAATTCTTCTATGGTATTCCTTATTCACTGTCCAGCTTCCACATGCATATGAGGTGATTGAAAATACCATGGCTTGGGTCAGGTGCGCCTTAGTCCTCAAGCTGTCATCTTTGCTCTTCAACATTTTAAAAAGGTCTCATGCAGCAGATTTGCCTAATACAATACGTTGCTTGATTTCTTGACTGCTGCTTCCATGAGTGTTGATAGTTTATCCAAGAAGAATGAAGGCCTTGACAACTTCAATCTTTTCTCCATTGATAAGAATGTTGTTTATTGGTCCAGTGGTGAGGATTTTTGTTTTCTTGACATTGAGATGTAATCCATACCAAAGGCTGTGGTCTTTGATCTTCATCAGTAAATGTTTTAAGTCCTCTTCACTTTCAGCAAGCAAGGTTGTATCATCTGCATATCGCAGGTTGTTAATGAGTCTTCCTCCAATCCTGATGCCATGTTTTTCTTCATATAACCCAGCTTCTCGGATTATTTGCTCAGCATACAGGTTGAATAAGTATGGTGAAAGAATACAACCTTGTCTCACACCTTTCTTAATTTTAAACCATTCAGTGGTGCCATGTTCTCCACCTGAATTAGACACCCCTTGGATGTTTACTAAAATACAGATTCCACATATAATAATTTTCCATCAAAAGTTAGTTCAGAAAAAGAAAAGTCAGATTCCTGGGTCTCATTCAGACCTGCTGAATATGGATCTCTGGGGTTAGGACCTAGAAATCTGCATTTCCAAAGGTTTCCTAGGCCATTTTTATGCAAATTAAGGTGGGGGGAAAACCACTGGCTGAGAGTTTATATAGTAATGCCTTCACAGCCCAACTATTCAATTAGTGAAAATATCCCATTCCCAGACAAATCTGAATTCCCAGGCGTTTACTATTACAGGGGTATAAGTCTTTAATTGTATTTGTTACAACGTGATCTGACCTATAATCTCAAATGGATTTTCTTTCTTTTCAGCCTGCATGCTTCTTCCCTCACTTTCTATAATTAAAAGCCATCTTAAAGAAATAACCTACAAGAATGATAAGAACAGATTTTAAAAGATTAAATAAAACATGGGGCACACTGTCTGTTAGGGTTGGCTCACCTATCAACATTTCCACATTAGTTTCTAGTGAAACACAAAGACACTGGCACTGGCTCCTGCTCCTGCTGCTTCAAGTTTGAGTGCAAGCTGAACTTCAGGTAGAATAACAGCAATCATGCACCACCCTCTTTTTCTCTGTTAAAATATTCCAACCTAACTACCCAAGGTCAGATATTCTACAGAGAAGAGTCATAGCCACTATTCTTCCTCTTACATGACATGGAAAATGCCTTCCCCTCACCCAAGAAGTGTCTGAATTTTGGCTTGAGCATTTGCTCATCAGTCCGACGTATTTTACTAAATGTGCAACTTGAAGCACACCAAGTCACACAGACCCTATAAAATGCTTTCTCAAGCCACCAAAATTCAATCTTCCTCTCCCCTCCTTGTCTCCCCCCTCTCCTTTCTTGTGTTTAAAAATAAAACCTAATTCTGCTGAGGAATGGTTGTTTTTTCTTTCTTTCTTTCTTTCTTTTTTTTTTAACCTCACCACAGGAAGTGGACTGGGTGAGTTCTCACATCACATATTTAACAGAGGACACCAAACAGTGTCCGTGGGACACCTGCCCTGGGCTGATGGGAGCCCTGGCCAACTCAAGAGCTATGAAAGAACTTCTTCCAACAGCCTGGAGTCAGTGTAAGGAGCAACACTTGCCAGACTCCAGCTGTGGAATCAGTGACCTAGGCAACAGACTTCTTCATTCCCAGCACTGGCTTGGGAAAAGCTTCCATCTTTAATCCCTTCCCTTCCCCTCCTTGCTTCTCTGACAACCTCCTCCTTCCTAAAGGAAAACAAAAGAAAACAAGAAGAAACACAACCACCCCACTGCCACCCCCAAATGCAGCTCACCTACTTGTTGTTCTAAAATAGAAAAACGGAATCATCCTAAACTTCCTGCTATCAAATACAACCGGAGAGCCATTTAATTGATATAAAAAATATGATTCAACCTTTAGAGTTTGGTTTTGTAATTCAACAGCAGTATGTGTGGACTGAAATGGAACTTTGTGTGGAAAGAGCGCAGTGGTCTCTAAAGTGGGATATCCTGGGGTAATGTAAAACAATCCATTGGAATATGAGAAGAAAGGTTAGAACTCACATATTTTCTATATACTGTTTATCTAAAATGATAAGAATGAACTTCAGTGTTACCAATATTCTGGAATCAGAGTGGCCCTGAAGCTCTCCCTTGGTGTTAGATGTTAGGAGATCAAATGAGCTAGTCTAAGGGAGGAGTGTAAGCTCCAAGCAGAAAAGGATTGATGGTGGTGCATTTTACACATATGCCCAGATTGTATTATCCATTTTCACTAAACTTGTTAAGTGCCATCAAGTCGATTCCAACTATAGCTACCCTATATAGGGTTTCTGAGGAGCAGCTGATGGGTTTGAACGGCCAAACTAGTCCCAACAAAATGGACAAGTGGCTTAGAAAGATTCCCATGGGAAACCCATGAATGGACTATGCCTCTAATGATGTAAGCATAAGACAGCATCAAGAGAATGGCAAAGTTGATACTTCTACTCCAAAGGTAAGCTTGTTTTTGTTAGCCACATTGTGAGCACAAGATGAAAAAACAATGACACCAGCGGTGATGTAATCATATCTGATGGAAAGTCAGCCAAAAAGAAATTTTAAATATCTGATGGGCTATTTGAAATAGGGTTTATGTTGTTGTTGTTGTTAAATGCCATCAACTTGGTTCCAACCCATAACGACCCTGTTTAGGGTTTCCAGTGAGCAGCTGGTAGGTTTGAACTGCCGATCTTGTAGTGAACCATCCAGTTATAGCCACCATCTTTAATGACAATTTTCACACTAGTGTTAGGGTGAAGATATTAAAATTATTCTATTTGTATCTAACTTTGAGCTCCCATTTTATATACATTTTATGAATGTGGATATATTTATAGAGCAATACATTTTAGAACTCTGTAGTCTATGTATTTTTTCTGATACCCATTGCTGTCGAGTCGATTCTGACCTATAGCAAACCTACAGGATAAAGTAGAACTGCCTCATAGGGTTTCGAAGACTATAAATCTTCATGGAAGCAGACTGCCACACCTTTCTCCTGCTGAGTGGTTGGTGGGTTTGAACTGCTGACCTTTCAGCCTTTCAGTTAGCAGTCAAGCACTTTATCACTGTGTTATCAGGGCTCCCTGTCCCCCCCCCCCTTTTTTTTTTATGACTGATCATACAGTGTAAAGGCTGCAAAGACTCTGATTTCAGGTAGGATCAGGCAACTTCTATCACATAGAAAAGGGCAAGAGTTTAGCCTAACATAAGTACGGCAAGTCAGTAATATCTCCTAGACCAGAAAACTAAGATCCACAAGGGTGAGGTGACTTGCTCCAGTCCACGTTGCTAGTTAGGGATGGTGCTGGGATATTTCTGATTCTCAGTTCACTGTTAATCTTAAGGAGCCAGAATTGCCTCTCAATATAAACATAGAGAGATAAAGGAAAACATAGCAAATACTAGAAAGTCAAATAGAATTGCAACTCAATGTAGTGGAACCTGAGTTTCTGTAGCCAGCAAGCTATTGAGATCTACCTATGCATTCTATACTTACAATAACTCCTGGGTAGTAACCGCCCACAGTCACATTCTGGGTCCTCGTGGTTGCAGCAAGGCCCACTGTGAGAATTAGCACGGACACAATAAGCAAAGTCACGGTGACATAGATGGAGTTTCGTTTCCTTCGGTTGAAGGCTCCTGAAAGCATACAGAGAACCAGAAATTGCTCATTTCAGTTGGGAATGGGAAGGACTTAAAGAACAAGCAAGAATACACCAGGATGGCTTCCCTTTTCTACTCCCACTGGTAACTGGGGTTACCTCTGGAGGAGTGAAATTATGGAGAAGACATGGCACTTGAAATTTTTGCAGTCACCAAATGTCACTATTAGAATAAAGTGTTATTTCCATTTTGGAAAACGCACACACATGAGAAGAAATGTCACCAATTACATCAAAACAAAACAAAACAAATTGTTGTGCTTTTGGCATTCTATAAAAGATGTGTCAAAAAAAAAAAAGATGTGTCATATCTACTCAGCAAAGCGCTTTTTCAGGCCAATTTATAAGGCATATGATAAATGAGAAATGAATGTGTGGGCGTATTAAATGAAACTATTTAAAAGCCAATAAGCAACTAAGAAGAGTATGTTCATTTGTTTGTTTTGTTTTCTCATAAGCGGGAGGTAGGAAATTTCATTTTCAGATAAATATCAGAACTGAGCCTAGGTCCTGGGATTTATTTCTGACATTTGCCACCTCATGTATAAACTTTAAAATGGTGTGTTGCCGAGATTTGTCACATAACATATGTGGGTAATAAAGTAAGTGTTTGGAGGTCATTAGTCCACAAAGATACGTATCAGGGGAGATAGATAGGGAGGATTATAACTTATCCACATTTCTGCTTATGTGAGGGTGACATAAATATAAATGATGAGAACCCTGTTCTCCTCCTCAGTGCTTATCAGACATGATAGTGCAAACCAATATATTTTTTTTCTGAGAACAGGCTTATTAAGTCGGATAGAAAAACAGTATCTCTGCTCGCTTTTCAATTTAATTTTTTAGAAGCATCACGCACCATTTGACTGCCTGCATTTGACTGGGAGTGTGCTGGGGAGTGGGGTCTTGCAACAGGAAATGCCAGGGGAGAGTTACCATCTAGGAGTTCAAATAAAAATAAGCAAATGGAGAATACTATGATCTTCTGGTCTTCAGATGGGGACCCAGGGTGGGGCAGTGGAGGATGGAGCAGTGGGGAGCCCGCCTAAGTGGCTTGGCTGTCATTTGTTAGGCTCAAGAGGCCACCTGGGTTTGTTCCTAAGACCCCTTCATTTCGTGAGGCATCACTGTACCCTCAAGAAACAGCTTTGAGAGGAGGAGCCCAGACTGTACCACTGAGAGGGAGCAGGGAGGGGAAACAATCAGAGGAGACCCAAGAGGTCTGGTGGTGATGGGAGGGTAGAGTCTTAGCTGGCCTGGCACCCTCTCTCCCATCTCTCCCTACCTGAATGGAAGAAACAAATCAGGAGAACCACCCTGGGGCAGCCCCACCATCCATCTTGCCTTCCCCAGTTCCTTTCCTTCTGAGAGTTCCAAAGGAGGTAGGAGGAGCTGGCAGTCTCTCCCCTGCATCAGCTTCAAATGTGAGGGATGTGACTCATCAGGTCATTTCTAATACAATACTATGCTGAGATAATTTTACATTGAAATGTAGAAGGAGCCTGAGTGTTTACAGGCACCTTCTTATTCTGGGAGCAGGGAAGTTGGAAAACAATATTTCTCTCCAGTGGGGCCTGAGTCCAGCTTCCATGGGGACAAATATGAAAGACTGCTTGAGACACCTGCGACATCAGAACCCTTTGTTCATGAAAACACTATTAGGAATGCAAATGTTGAGCTGACGGTTGATAAACACAATGAATGAAGCCAGAGATCTGGGCTATCTGGTGCTCAAAAAGGAAGAGAAAAGGGATGGGGATAGAGGGAGGCAGGATTTACTTTTTTTACATTTACCTGTTTGCCGGAACAATGACCTGCTAATTATCCCTCCTCTTCAAGTGGAGGGACCCCACATAAGTCTCTAAACCAGAATCTCCAAGTCCTTTTGAGGAGAGCTATTTCTCAGTGCATTGGCCACTTGGATCTATAAACCCCCAACCCCATTGCTGTCAAGTTGAGTCCAAGGCATATCTACCCTAGAGGATAAAGTAGAACTGCCCCCATGGGGTTTCCAAGGCTGCAATCTTTACAGAAGCAGACTGCCTCATCTTTCTCCTGCAGAGAAGCTGGTGGGTTGATGGGTTGGTGAATAGCCCAGGGCTTAGCCACCTGCCAAGCCATGCGGGCTCCATTGGTTCTAATATAAATTTACTAACATTCCCTCCCATCCTCATCTTCCTTTCTCTGGTGTTACTGGCACCATCTCTAGCCTTCCTCCACTTCATCCCAAATTGGCAAAAGAGAGTGAAGAAACCCAGAACATCTTTGTGACACACAAAAGTGTCTCAACACTTATATGACAACCATGTAATCTTAGAGATTACATGGTTGTCATATAAGGTGTGTATGCATATAAGGTGTGTATGCATGACTTTTGGAATCCCACCCCCCATCAATCTTCGGCTCCTCCCCTGCCAACTAGCCTTTGATCTTATTCACAGTTCCTGGGTATCCTTTGCAAATATCACTCCAACTCTTAAAAGCACAGGAATTGGATCAGAAAAGTGACTCAGCAAACCACATGGTGTCATTTGAAGTTCTTTTTTTTTTTTCCCTCTGCTTTAGAACCTGAATTGAAAATTCTGTTTGAGAAACCCATACAAGGATCCTACAGCCCCACAGAAGCCTTGCCTCCAGAGAGGATTTACTCTGGGTAAAATTCTAAGACAACTCTTCCATCACTCGTTTGAATATTTATTCTTTGTCATCCCCCCAAACCACCTCTTATTTTACATTACAAGAATCACAGTCCTGTAAAATAAAATTAATTTTAGCTGTACTTGGGGAGTTGACTATTTTAAGAAACCCCGGGGGGCGGGGAATCCTTTTGGAAAAGTGAAGAATCACCCCTCAGTTTATCTTTAGTGTCAATGTGACTTAATAAATTCACATCTACTTAGAACAAGACACACTTGTTCTCTGAGTGCGTGGCCCGGACTCTTAAGAGGTAACTACAGTGTTAAAGTTTCTTGGGGCTCCTTAGGCTATTGTTCTTGTGGTCGTTTCTTTTTTCGAAGGGAGAAGGGGAACCTTGTTCTTCCTAGTGTGTGTTTTGGGTCTTTCCTCTGATGTTCATGTGACCACAGAACCATTTCATTGCTATTTTATTTAGTAAATCAACACATCAAAGAATTCGGATGAGCTACTTCAATAAAGCAGTGGGTACCTGAAAACAGTCTTAGCAGTGTTAGTAAGCTGTCCATTGTTGTTGTTGTTGTTGTTAAGTGCCTTGAGTCTGTTCTGACCCACAGCGACTCTGTATAGGGTTTCTGAGGAGTGGCTGGTGAGTTTGAACCACCAACCTTGTGGTTTAAACCGACCTTGCTGTCCAGTGCTTATCCTACAGTGCCACACCAGGACTCCACGCTGTCCATACTTGTTGAATAAACAAGAGACAACATCTCACAATTGTTTCTCTGCTCATCAAAAAGACTGTGTGTGTGAGTTATATGAATGTATATCAACTGTGCTCATAGAATTGATGATTTCAAATACGGTACACCTGAAGGTATCTCCGATCGGAAAGCCTTGTATTCAACTAGTGTCTGGACTCCATGATCTCTCACTAGCCTGTCTACTTGGCACTCCTTGCAAATCTTGCAACCACCAGTTGTGGGAATGTCTGAAATCCTTAGCAGAACCACTGCAGTGTTCCGACCCCACCCGAATCCGGTAGACCAGAAACCTTGACTCTAGAAGTGCCCAATTATTTCCTGTCACCACCTTTCTAAGTACAACCAGCTTCTTCCTCTACCAGGTTCTTCCCCCTCCCCTAGCTTACCGTGACCCTCCCCCCAACCTGCAAGTTGGTCTTTGAATCTGAGTCCCTCCCTTCTTTTGGAATGTGCTTAGAACTTACCTCCTCTGGGAAGTTTTGCTTGCTTAAGCTCACTCTATTCCAACCCTTCATTATTTCATGTACCCTGAGTTCCGAGACACCGAAATCAGTATATTCATTGTAACTGTTACAGTTACAATTGCAATTGTGGGTCTAGTCTACTACCCTGAGGTGTCCAGGATCTGACAGGAACCGAGTTGTGGGCTGACAGAAGGTAGGATTATTGTCTCTGCTTACTTGTGTTTTACCTTTTACATATTCTTGATTACATCTCTCAACAGAAAAGATAGGATGTGTAATCTCTATTGGGTTGCACCAAGGAAAGAGACCCAGTATCCTGTCCAGTCCATAATGTGGTATTATTGACGACTGGCTAATTCTCCGAGCTGTTTCGGAATCAATTAGGATTCCCTTACCTGAGTGTAGGCTTTGTGGCACAAGGGGAGTTCCAGGAAGTCCTAGCCTTGAGCATTAATAGAAACAGGTGGCTGTACACACAGTGTAATTAGATTGAACCTCAAGGCCTTATCCATCTTTCAAACATGTCCTTAAGGGAGACGAAGCTCCCCTCCCACCCCCTCATTTTCCCCTGCATTAGTAAATTCTTTGGAAGCAACCAAGGCCACTGGTAAATTGTTGTTGTTGTTAAGTGCCATGGAGTTGGTTCCGACCCATAGGGATTGGTGAACTTGAACTGCCAACCTTGCATTTCAAAGGGCTTTGCAGTCTGGCGCATTAAACCAGAACTCCAGGTAAATTAGACATTGGTTATTTGAGAGGGAAAGAGGGTCCTGGGCAGTAGAGATGCCCAGGTGTTAGCGCAGTGTTGCCAAAAAGGGAGAAGGGGGCGCAGGCAGGGGACCAAAGGGTGCTCACATCAAATTCGCTTCTTCGTATTGCCAAGCTCCTACTTCATTTAAGCCTTGGACAAATCCCTCATCCCCAGGCCTTCAGTAAGCAGCCACCTTGGTGCAGTGGGCGTCTGTGTGTGTTTTCATTTTCTTGTTTTCGCTGTGGTTGTTTCTTGCTTGTGGAGGGAATTCCCTCAGAAGTGTTGAGCTTGGAGGCTGAAACACTAACCCACCCCTCACCCTCGCAAGGGAAGGTGGCATTGCCAGGGCTGAGTTAAGTGGGAGTAGCTCCTAAGTAACCTAGACTCAGATTCAGGCTTGGGCTGGGCGGAACCAGCGCCAGGGAACTCCAGGGAGGCTTCCCTGTCTAAACTGTGGAAACCCAGAGTTACCACTTGATACCTAAATGTGCTAGTGCCCTGCTGACCTTAAAAACAGAATGCATGGTGTGGGCTCTGCGTATACAGGGATCTGAGATTCCTTCCCCCGCAGTGTCCAGATAGGTTGCGGGGCTCACTCAGCTTCTTTCCAGAAACACCAAGATTGGCTGAGGGCTCCTGGGACCTCAAGAAAAAACTCTCTTCATCTTAACTCAACCCATACAGCAATGTGCCAAAGGGCAACGCTTTAAGCCCTGGGCCACTACCCTACCCACCCCACTGTGGACAAACGAGTCCAAGACGGGGAAGCGGAGTTTGCAGGTGGTTGTGGTTCGCAGTGCTGAACTCTTGTACCCTACTACCCAGCAGGCCTCAGGCCGCAGCCTGGCTTCCTGGAGCCAGGGCTGCGCTGCTGCCACAACCCGCCAAGGTGAGAAGCGCAGTCTGTGTGTGTGCCTGTTAGATGGGGAGGGGGAAGGGGGAAGGGGGAGTCCGTTACTGCTGCGCTTGGACCAGAGAATTATTTGCCACTTTGCAAATAACTACGCCCTTAAAAATAAAAGAGCAAATTCTGATACCGGATTTGCGAAAGCACTGGAAATACGGATCTTCCCACCAACCAGGAGTAAATACTTTCTGGGGTCTCCCAGGAACGAATTTTCTTAAGACTGATTCTTTGGCAGGTACCAGTCTGGCAGCTCACATGCGGGATGTTTGGGGGAGTAACGCTCTCCGGGTCTGGGATCCTTGCGATGTTCCCGCAAATTCCTCGGTGTCGACCAGAGCAGAAGGGATGTTCAGAATTCGGATGGAGAGCTTTTGCATAATATCAAGTATTTGGGGAGGGGGGCGGATATAATTCGATTTGGTTAAAGTGTCAGCTAGGCGAATTGTAAGATTAGGTGGGATCCTACTTTGACCATCCGCTCCCGCTCTCCTGGACTCCAAATGAATTTCTCCACGCGGTGAAATCCTAGGGCTTGGAAAGGTGCCTAGAAGCTGAAGGGGACTGGGGAGTTCTGTGCTTGTGATTACCCAAAAAGCGACTTCGAGGAGCAGCCAGTTTGGTACCTGGAGGTAGCAGTCCCCTCAGTTTGGGTGAGGAAAAGGTGTGGAGCCAAATCAGGCTAGTTGGCAACTAGAGAGGGAAAGCGCGACTTGAGAAAATGCACGGGCTTGCTCTTCCTCTTTCTTTCTCGAGCTCTCACCGCCGCCCCCCCGCCCCCGCCCCCTACCTTTTCCACACTCGAGCACATTCCGCGCATTAGGAGTCAGATAGGAATCAAATTCAAGGATTTTAGATCCCGCCACTGCAGGCGCGATTCCTTAGGAATTTCCTTCCTGGGACGCTCCCTTTCCCCATGTTGTCCCAGTCCTCCAGGGTCCTGCAACCCTACCACCCCATCCAGCAAGGTGCAAGTCAGCCCCCCGCCCCCACCCCTCTGTAGTTCTGACATTCAGAGCAGGTTCCAGAGAGTTGGAGGGGATGAGGAAGCCAGGACCCTGGTCATTCTAATGTTCTTTTAGTTCTGAGTCCTTAGAACTGATGCGGACTTTGCAAAGAGGGAGCATCCACTGGCAAGCGAAGGCGCAGGTTGCAAGGAAGTGTTTTGATCTTCAGACAACTGATATTTATGGCCAGTCTAGTGAGGCACGCACACAAACACTCACACTCTTGCTCAGGGATACTTTGGTCTCCAGCAGGGCTCTTAGGTCCCTGCGTGCTGTCCTCCGCCCAGCCGCTTCCCTGGGGCTCTAGTCCACCCCACAAGTACTGGGGCGAGCGCCCCCTCCACTGGCCCAGCTTCGTGCTCCTGGGCAGCAGGACGCTCGAGGTCCAGAAGGCTAGACTTACCCATGGAATCAGGCAGGGACATGTCGCTCGACCGCTGCTGAGTCAGGGACTGATGCATGGTGAAAGCTGCCGTGTGCCCTGGCCCCTGAAACTGCTACTCCTGCCCACCCGCTCAGGGCACCTCTCAGAGCATCCTACTCTGAGGCAGCCTCTTCCAGTCCTCGGAGAGCTGAGCTAGACAGCCTCTGGTAGCAAGCAGCAGCCCTAGTGCCGCCTCCCCCTCCCTGTCTCTCTGCTCCCTCCCTCCTTCCCTGCCTTCTTAGGCTCTGGGAGGCAGCAGCATAGGCGGTCCTTGCAGCAGCCTGCGCTTGCGCAACACTCCCCCTCCCCCCACCTTCTTGGCCCCCTCCATCCTAGTTATCCACCTCCCAGCCTCCCTAGCCAGACAGAGAGCTGTTTTAGCCCCTTGGGGCCAGGGTTGCGCAGAGAAAACAGGGGGAGATGTCAGCCTTGGGCTGACTGGCTTTCTCCCTACTTTGGAGAGAGTGTTTGGGGACAAGCCTCCTGCTCTAGGATTTATAACTGGGGAGCGGCGGGCAGAGTCAAAGGTTCACACATACACACACACACACACACACACACACACACACACACACATATATATTTGTGCAGGTCTGGTCTTAGTGCTTCCAGAATGACATGATGGAGCTGGAGATGTTCCAGAGAAGGGTCACTCTATCATCAAGAGGATTGGGAGGGGAGGGTAAGAAGGGGCTGCCATATGAAGATAGATTAAACAAATGCAGGCTCTTTAGTCTAGGAAGATGAAGGCTGGAAAGTGATGTGAGCAGAGTGTATAAAATCATGCAGAGCTAGAGAGAGAACATAGCCTGATTCACCAGATCTGAGAATTCTGGAACCAAAGAACTCAAGGGAGATACACCAAAAGCAAATACCACTCTGCATCAGCACCCCAGTTTGTACTATTTAAAGTATTTGTATATCAAAGATCTCATTTTCTCATAGCAGTCTTGTGAGGTAGGAAGAGTAAGTCTCAATAACCCTACTTTGAGGAAGAGGAAGCTGAGGCTCAGAGAAAGGATGGGAATTTCCTGTGGCCATTTAGAGGTGAGACTTGAAACTACTGTCTCCAGGTCAGTGTTCGCCCTACAATGGCAGCTGAAAAGAAATATTACCCTTTATGATGTTGTTGCTGTTGTTCAGTGCTGTTGAGTCAGTTCCTACTCATAGTGACCCTGTGTAAGCTTTCTGAGGAGTGGTTGGTGAGCTTGAGCCTTGAGGTTCAAACCAACTTTGCAGTCCAGCACAATAACCTGCAGCGCTACAGCAGGACTCTTTATAGCATGTTGTAAGCCTACTGGTTACAAATCAGGCTGCTAACCTCAGAGTCAGCAGTTCAAAACTACCAGCTGTTCCGTGGGAGAAAGATGAGGCTTTCTGCTTCCGTAAAGATTTACAGCCTCAGAAACCCTGTACAGGGTTGCTATGAGTCAGAACCGACTCCACGGCACATAACAATAACAAAGCCTAAAAGTTAGTTGATTCCAAGAGGTGCAACAGGGTAAAAACACAAGTAGCTTTCAAACTACTAAGGTAAAGTCATGGTTGACAAATCCACTGTGGATTGCTGAGGAAAACTTGAGATGAGAATGTAGTCAACTCCTTCTTGGACCCATTCTTCTGGACCCCCATCAGGATATTGAGCTGGAAGCACCTTGTCATTATCTTCAAAACAGCTATAGAACAAGATGAGGCCATTTTGGAGTGCTTCCGGACATCTGCTTGGTGGTGGTGGTGGTGGTGGTGGTGGTGGGGGGGTAGTGGAAGATGAGGAAAAGGGTAGCAGTAGGCTCCAACACCCTCTGGAAACTGTCCTACAGCCCTGGCATCTTAAGGAATTTACCTGTTTGGAGGTGGCCAGTTGGTCCCAGTGAGGAGTCCAACCACCTCACCCTGAGAATTGCTGGGCCCTTTCTCTCCATGGCTACCCAGGTCCAGACCAAAACAGTCAAACAAACCAAATCTAGTATGAAACTCTTCCTGAGACTCCATGAGATGAGGGAGAGTCCTTGTTTCTTTCCAGCTCTGACTGATAATATGCTGTGAGGCTCTGTTTCTTTATCCAGGAAATGGAACCAAAGACCCATGCCCTTCCAAAGGAAGAAAAGACACTTCCTGAAGGTTAAAAAAGGAAATCCTTTGTAAAGAAATTGGGAACCCCAGGGGCCAGGCTAAATGCAGTGTTGGGTATTATTAGGAGCCCTACACTATAGATGTGGTTTGGAAATCTGTGATATATGTCCTAGATAAAGCTAAGATGCTTACTAGAGTAGAGATGTGTGTCTTAAACTTCCTAGGCGTGTATGTCACTCTTCATAAGTTCCTCAAAGACAGAATGAAATCGCACATTTATATTCTTGCAATGCTCATCTTTTAGACTTGTTTACCTATTTCTTCCTCCTTCCCACCCCTAAGTAGCTCACATATTTAACTTGAAGAACTCTAAAACCCATACCAATTTCTCAGTGTTTTGTAAATAACTTTTGTTTCTGTGAAAGTAGTCTTGAAGAACAGACTGCTTAATTCCCTTAGAGATGCTTGGCTTCCCTATAGCAACCATACAGCTAATGATACCAACAAACAACCACCACCATATAGCTAAAGATACCTAAAAACAACAACAAACCTATTGCCACTGAGTCAATTCTGACTCACAGTGACCCTATATGGCAGAGGAAAGCTGCCCCATATGGTTTCTAAGGCTATGAATCTTTATGGAAGCAGACTGCTACATCTTTAGAACTACTGACTTTTCACTTAGCAGCTGCATGCTTAATCAGTGTGCCACCAGAGCTCCAAGTTGAAACATTATCATGTTGGTTTCAATGGACAGAAGGAGGCATATTCACCTTAGAGAGAAACACACTGCCCATCAATTGACATAGAGAACATATATAATTTAATCTGTATAATCAAAGTCACAAGCTAGTGAGGTGCTCTTAATTGGTGTGAGGTTTTCTTTATGCAGCATCTATATTCCTGAATCCTGCATGGAAATTGAGTCCTGGTTGTAAAAGGTACTAGAGGAGCTGGTTATTTAAAAGAACTGCATACTGTATATTTCTTTGGTACCATTCTTGGGGTGCCTTATGGGACTTGGAACACAGCAGGCACTCAGTCAAGTTAAAAATGACTTTGAGACCAGCAGCAGTGACAATAGCAGCAGCTGCAGGAGCTCAGAGAATAGTAGCAGTCTTCTCCCTAGAGATGGTGTACTTGTTTGGACAGAGAAGCTAGAATACGGGGAGGAACTAGAATAGGACTTAAAAGAAATACACACACACACACACACACACACATTTCAACCAAGTCCAGCATATAGTCCCACTTTCCTCCAAAGAAAAAATGTTTATGAGTTTGGCAATTAAAAACATTTTTAAAGAGGAATTTTTTTCATGTGCTTCATTCTGATCTTCATGTCAAAACACATGTGGATTATATATATGAAGAGGCTCATAATAAAATCCACCAGTAGGCAAGCCAACTAAGGAGGGAACCAGTCCTTTTAGGCAAGTGGAGGCCAGTATATAACTGCTTGGTTAGCTTCTGATGGAAAATAAATTATTAAAATGCCTTAAAATAAATCATTTTCGTTGCAAGCTTAATTAACCATACAGTTTTGCTCTAAGTTGCAAACTATTTTTATAGCAACAGGAAAAGTTTGCTAAGGGAGCTGTAGCCTCCTCTGTATTCTTTAAGTCAATGATGGGAGCCCTTCCCAGAAGTCTTCAGACCACTAGAAAAATGCCAGATGGTGCTCTGTTTGTAACATTCACCTTGGGAATAGCCAAAGCATTTTTTTTGAATGTTTTTTTTTGATGTGCAATTTGATTTGTTAAATTATTAGTGCTTTCCTGAAGCCAATTTTAGGAATATAGAGTGGAAGAGGGATCATGTATACACATATGTCATGTACACATGCATATTAAAATTATGGCCACACAAATATTCACAAACACATACACACACACACACACACACACACACACACACACACACCAGTCAGTCTCTTCCCATCCAGCGTATCACCACTCACTTCTCAGATTCCAGACTTAAGTTGATCAAGGACAGAGAAGAGCTCGAGAATAACAGAATACCTCTATGAATCTAAGCATCCTAATTAAGGTTCAAGTTGTGCCCATCACACTGCCTTGGGTCAATGCCTAGTACCCAATGCCTGTACCACAAACAGCTATATTCTCACTGAGGAGAACAATGGTTGAAGATATTCTTTCACCCAAGAAGTTTGACCATTGTCGGCTGCTCAATTATTTTGATAACAGGAAAATTGCCCTCACATCGGGAAACGACACAGGTACTTGTCTTTACTTTGTTCTTGATTTCTTCCTATTTGTGACTTTCTTTAATTACCAAAGAGTATACCTAAGTGTTTCTTAAAAGGAGCTCTGGTAGCATAGTGGTTATGGGTTGCTAACTTCAAGGTCAGCAGTTCAAAACTACCAGATGCTCCACGGGAGAAAGATGAGGCTTTCTGCTCCTGTAAAGATTTACAGGCTCAGAAACTATGAGTTGGAACCGACTTCACAGCACATAACCACCACCACCATGCTCATATGTTTTACCTTCTTTATACTCTGTCTGTATTGCTCTTTGTTTTTTCCCAGTCTGCTCTGCCAAAATCATGCAGAAAATGATAGTATTTCTATTTTGAAATTGTTGCTGAAATAACCATACTATTATGGAATGGTAAAAATAAGAAAAAGAACTAAGAACTAATTTCTGATAAGTTCAACATCTCATTTTTTTCTTAAAGAAATAGCAACATTAACTAATCCAAGAAAAATTTCAAGCTAGTTAATTTACATTTTAAATGATTTTCCTTTTTTCTATTGTTTTTCTGGTTTTGTATTATTTATTTCTGCTCTTACCTTTGATTTTGGAGAACTTGATTATTATATGTCGGGAAGTGACAGGCCTCTAACCTTCTTCTTCTTCTTAAGCAGTGCTTTGCTTATCCTGGGTCTCTTTCCTTTCCATAGAAAGTTCGAAATTGTTTTTTCTAACTCTTTGAAGAATATCTTTGGAGTCTGGATTGGGATTGCATTATATGTGTAAATTGCTTGGGCAGTATTGACATTTTTACAATGTTAAGTCTTCCTATCCAGGAGCATGGTACATTCTTCCAGTTTTGT